CCTGACCCAATAATTCCTTTAAAAATTTAACTTTCTTGGGGGGAACGTTAACAGAATTTTGCACTGGAAAGGATATTATATAGCACCCATTTGGACCTGTTAGTCTTTCACAGAATACAACATATATTGGGTCTAACTTCCAAAGTTTGAGTATCTATATATACATAACAACTAAAGAAAACGATATATATAGTTCAAATGAGTGAAATCCTAAAACTCCAAATTCTGGAGAGGATCCCTAATTACACTGAGTCCAACCAGGTTTAGGATGGAGTAAATGGAATTGCTGATTTCTAGTTCTTCTTAGCCGTCAGCTAGAAATGGATAACTAATTTTATGCTGACAATCTGATGACTGCTACATACGTCACTTTGAATCTGCATCGCGTTCCTGGAATGCTCCACGTTCAAGGCATCAGGCAGCAGGGTGTAGTGGTGGAAGGGTTGTCTGTAGTTGGTGTTGGTGGCAACCTCCTGAGATTTCTTGGCTGCTGTCACACTGAACATATCCAAGGGGGTGTGATACTTGGTCTTGCTGGCTTCATAGCCCTTTTTGTACTCACGATCTGACTGTATTTTGGCTACATTCATGTAGTGAACCAGTTTAGGATCATCCTGAAGACTGAGAAATCCAATTTGTTTGCCTTTGGCTTTCTCGTAGGCCTCCTTATATTTGAACTACATGAAAAAGAAGGGCAGACAGAAGTTTGATAGGGTAGATTGTATGAAATACTAAAGCATTAAACTGAATTTATATCACAAATTAAGCAATAGCCAAATTCATTCTGAATCTAGGTAACACCTAAGTTTTTTAGTATTTTTAAGTAAACAACTAGCAAAGTATTCCCAATGGATGGTCTTGAGATCTGCTCTGGGGATAATTAAGAATGGAATAAACTGTAGTTTATATCTAGATTATTCATAGGTGGATTCTTTGAACACAATCAAAGGTTCCTGAAAAGTTTATTAAGGATTTGGTGTACATAGCTTTTATTATGTTTCTATGATTAATTTGCATCACCTTATAAACTATTTGCATAATCCTGAGTAAATTGCAGCAAAGACATTATAAAAATTAGTATATTGGACTCCAAATGAATTTCTACTCTATCAAGGTATATCAATTCCTGTAGAAAATATAACTTAATTTATAAAAAGTAATTAATTAAGTAAGCAGGTAACTGAAATTCTGTCGTTTAATATATAATTCTTCCTGGTTTTCCATATTTCACCAGATTTTTTTCTTTATGGAAATTATATTATCAAAAAATTGTATTCTTTTAAAATACTGGGAGACTTTCTTGATTTAGTAATATTTTAGTATACCAAGGCTTTTTTCTTAACAAAATCCAAATAAAAAGCAGTTTTCAAGTTCATAATAATAATACTAATGAGAATTCCATGTATTTGACAGCTAAAAAAAATTATCTTCTTTGTAACAACTTACTGAGTTTTTAAATATTTTTAAGATAAAAAAATCACTGGTACCTAAGATATTAGGAATTATTTTTATACTACAATTTTTTATTTGCTTCCTAATATAGCTCATATAACCTCATACACCATGTAAATATTTTTTAAATATAAAGAGAGTTTACTATTTTCAAATTAGACTTACATTGCTAGCAATATTCCTTGAACTTTTTGCAGCAACAATTGGAATGGCATCTGGTCTCAAGTCATAGCCCTTAGCAAGGGTTTTCTTCCAATCTGCTTTATACTTAGCCTTGAAAAAAGGAAAGATTATTTTATTATCTGACATAATTAAAAGAGGAATGAAACAGGAAACCAAAATCTTTCTTATAAAACATGTCATAATATATCCCTTTCTATTAAAAGAATCCAGAGTTAGGGCTCTAAGTTCACCTTTTAGAAATCTATTATTCTTTAAAAAAAAAAATCAGTAAACTATATACACAGTATGATCTCAACTGCTGTAAAAAATGTATATGTGTGCATTAAAAAAAGCAATGGAAAGGTATTGCTTTGAATGTGGGATAACAGAAGATTTTAATTCTTTCATAATTTTCTATATTTTCCAATTTTTCTATAATAAGCATGCAATGCTTTTATTTTCTTGTATTTTTTATAATGAAACATTTTAAACTTACAGAAAGATGTGGGTACTAAAATTAAAAGTTCAGATGTAGTACCACCCAGCTTTAATTAATATTAATTTTTAAATATTATTTATAAAAGCAGGAAAAAGTTTTAAATAAACCAAAAGCATAGAAATGAGTACTTTAAAAAATGTTTATTTGGAGATAAAAGAGAGCCTAAAATGTTAGGAAGAATGACTAAATCATCTTTTAAGAAATGAACAATTTTATCCAGGTTGGATTATGTCTTTAAATTAGAATTTACCAATTTTCTTTAAAAGCAAAAGGAAATAATTCATAATAGTAAATTTAAACATCGCCACCAATTAGAGAGAGATGCTAGTCACATACAAAGAAGAGTTTCTAAAGAAAATCATGGTAAACTTGTTTAGAAGTTTAGAATTTTAACATATAACTGAAACAAAAGTTATAGAAATAGCAATACTTATCCTTACTACAGACCATGCATTCCTGTATTTTCCAATCCTCTCTGTCCTATTTTGTTTTACTTTTTAAAAAATGGAACACAACCTACTAGATTGATTTTATAACCCACTAATGAGTCATAGCCCACAGTTGGGAAAAGTCTGCATTAAGTGAAATGTATGGTAGGCTCTAGTCTCATATTCTATGATAAGGATCCAATCTGGAGACTGTTGGTTCGCAAATTGGTCCCCGTACATGGAGGGCAAGGAGAGACTGAAAAAACAGGCTGACCACTCCAGCTTGGTAGGCGGTAGGTTTAATAAACAAGGGAACTTACATTCGAGGGTTGTCTTGGGCAGTCACAAGACAAGTAGATCTTCACACCCGCCCGCCAGAACCTTACAAGTTTATTAAGGCCTCAAGTGGATTCAGTGCAAGTGGTCTCAACAACACATTGGTCTCTCAAGGCTGTGTCCTTGAAAATGGCTCCCACTGTGGGAACAGTGGGCAGAACTTACATTCCAAGGATGGGAGGGGGTGAGGAGCCTCCAATTGCCCAAGTCCAGCTCAAGGGTCACCTGTCAATCACGTCCTCTCAATGACCTCCTCTATCAAAGACTCAAAGGGTCCACACTCAGTTTGCTCACGCTAAAATTCCCAGTGCTAGAGTTATATAGAACTGGAAAGGAGAGGCCCATGTAAGCAATACTAGACGGGCACCAGGCCAAATACTCACATCACTTATGTTGAAGGCATTGACCTTGGCTTGAATAAACTGCGGTACATCAGGGTCCATAGTGTACTTGTGCTTCAGTTTCTCTCCCTCCACCTTGTAGTTCAACTAAAAACAAAGGAGGCAGCGTGCAAATCGTATTAGCTAACATAATGTAAGTTTCATCTAGCACACGTTCCTTTAAAAAGGAAGACTATCGTTTGTGTTTTTCCATTTATAAGGCAATTAGCTACATTATCACACAGAGGGAGTGTTGGCAGACATATTCATTGCTCATTCCACCCATATTTATTGGACAGCACTCTGATCAATAGGCAGCATGGTAGGTTCTGTGTTTAAAGTGGTTAAAAAGAAAAAGGCAGGGGCTTCCCTGGTGGTGCAATGGTTGAGAGTCCGTCTGCCGATGCAGGGGACACAGGTTCGTGCCCCGGTCCGGGAGGATCCCACGTGCCGCAGAGCGGCTGGGCCCGTGACCCATGGCCGCTGAGCCTGTGCGTCCGGAGACTGTGCTCCACAACGGGAGAGGCCACAACAGTGAGAGGCCCACAAACCGCAAAAAAAAAAAAAAAAGAAAGAAAAAGGCAGACCTGTCCTCTTGGAGCTTATAGTCCAATAAAGGAAACAGAGAATAGCACATAAACTGTAAGATAGAGCTAGAATTCGTGATGTGTTGTAAATTAAATAACTTTAGGAAAGAAATGAACAGGGTCAGGGTGGGGGGTCAGCAAAGGCTCTCTAAAAAGGTAACATTTACACCCAAACTTGAAGAAAAGGGAAGGGTCCGGGCAGAAGAAGAGCATTCAGGGCCCTGGGTCTAGAAGGGGCATGGCTAGCTTGAGGAACTGAAGGTCACTGGGCTGGAATGTGCTGAGCGGGGTCCCAGGAGGATTAGACAGGAGGGGGGCGGGGGCACAGAGCTGAGGGCTTTTTCAACCAAGTTAACAGTTTAGATTTTAATTTGAGTTCAAGGAGAAGCTACTAAGGGGTTTTAAGTATAAGAAGGACATGATTTGATTTATGTCTTAAGACAGTCTTTTTGGTTTTTGTGTGGCCCCAGGCAGGGAGTCCAGGTAATGGATTATTACAGTTGTCCACATGAGATATGGAGGCCAGAACTAGGGTTGGTGGCAGCTGAAAGACAGAGAAGTGCTCCAACAGGATGGCTGAGAGATTTGGGAGGCTAACTCAGTAGATGCGTTGGATGAGGGGGGTTCACATGGGGAGGTGTCAATGGTGACTGCCAGGTTTCAGGCTTGAGTAACTAGGTAGATGTTGACGGCATTTATTGGGATGAGGAAGACTTAATATAGTGAGTTTAGGGTTTTCCTAGCTAACTGGAAAAACACAGGGATAAGTGACACCTCGGTCAGTACAAAAGAAATCAGAACAGTCTACACCATTTAGTACCACTAGAATAGAATTAATCTTGAAACATCTTTGGTAATGTGGGACTGATCTGAGAAATAAAATCCAGAAAACCCTCAAATCTGAACCAAAGAATGCATTCCCCACCTTCGAATATCTGGGGTTAAAGACACAAAAAGTCCTCTCTTCTTTGTTTTTTACTTACCACTCTATTTCTGGGGGAGATACCTTAGAACTCTGAAATTATCAAATGAGGGGAAGCACTGAGCATTGTAATTAGCCTCTGACTAAGAAAAAGGGTTCAGATAGACCTCGGCTCAGAAAAAAGACTCTGGATGACTCTGAAAGCAAACTGCTTAACTCTTCCCCAGAGGTGTCTCTCTCTCTCTCAGAATATCGCCCTATTTATTTTGCAAGGGGATTAGGACATTAGCCTTCTCCTCATCTGGCTAGGTAGAACTCTTACAACTATATATATATATATATATATATATAGAGAGAGAGAGAGAGAGAGAGAGAGAGAGAGAGAGAGACTTATAAATAACATAGACTCTCTACATTTGGAAAACAAAGCAAACTTGGAACATCGTCCTTCTCTCCTTCCTGTTCTTCTTAAGTCCCAAGTTGCTTCAAAAGTAAAACCTTTTGACATACCTCCGAAGGCAGATGATTTGCTAAGATAGATGCACACTCATGAATTGAATTAAGAAGGATTGTGGAGTAACTGGTCATGGGGTTACTCATGGACAAAACTCTTTGAAGGAAAACCACTTACATCACTTAGCTGCTTTGTGTTGTGCTGAGCCAAAACCATGCCCATGGAATCAGGCACACTTGTGAACTTGATGGTATCTGGGTGCTGTCGGTACTTTCTCTCATTTAATGCATTGCCTGCCTTCTTGGCCTTCTCAACCTCCAGAGAACCAAGAGGGATCCATCCAATGCCCTTGAAGAAGTTGTTGTACTCATCTTTATATACATTCTGTAAAAGAATAGTCTCAGATGAGGGGATATCCTAGTGCATACTCAAGAGCTGTTTCTGGAATCTGTAATTCTATCCAGGGGGGGAATGAAGAGCAACCTGTCAGCATGCCTGTGTCTATACTGGAGCTTTTGGCTATCTCTGCCACAGAGCTTCTTACCCAGAATTTGGTCATAAGAAAAAGCAGTTCTGTTGTTAGAGTGCATTAACACTCCAGGAGAGAATGTAGGCCACATATTTCCATGGGTACTGCTAAAAAAAAAAAAAAAAAAAAGTGTCTCTTCTGACAATAAATTGGGCTTTCCTTTTGATTTCACTGAAATCTCCACAACTTCTGAATTTCACCCACACCGTCCACCTGGGCTCCTCCATCTCAGTTGGAGAGAGACATTCTCATTGAGCAACAATAAAGGAACACAATTTTTTCCCTTTACCAAGGATGATTCTTACAAAAACCTGGCTCCTGCAGCAGGAAATGCTCTGAATATTAAACACCCTCCCCCATGCAGCTCTCCATGAGTCATGCTGCAATCACAAAACCATCCTGGTTCATTTTAGATGACTCGTTACATACATTTACATGCATGAGAGTGTGACCTTGAGTTCAAAAATAGAAGAAGAAGAAAAAAAAGAACATTCCTGAGTTCAGAAAGAATAGAGAATGCTCCTATTTTGCATTATACATATTGCCGTTGAAGCAGGCCCACCAGGAGTAACCATTTCCTTTTGCTGAGAACCAGGGTGGCTTATGTACTTAGTAGAACATGGCTTTATCTTTGACCCATAAGTTAATAAAGATAATATCAATGATTACGATAGGAGCACAGAAAGCTAGTAAAACACAGCGTGTCTACCATGCCTTTGTTACTCTTTCAATGATGACTGTATATTTTAAAGTGCATTTTTCAAATACCTTATTGTATTGTGAAGTCTACTAAAATAGGAAGAAATGATCACCTGTTCAGTACCAGCATCTCTAGGTCTATAATGTTATACATACTCACATCACTCTGAATTTGATTCATATTCCTGGTATGCTCAAGACTCAGGGCATCAGGTAGGTATGTGTAGTGATGTATCGGCTGCTTGTAGTTGACGTTGGTGGCAACATCCTGGGCCATCTTTGCAGCTGTAATGCTAACCATGTCCCCAGGGGTATGATAGCTGGTTTTGGTGTTTTCATAGTTCTTCTTGTATTCACGATCAGACTGTAACTTTGCCACATTCGTATAGTGGACGAGCTTAGGATCATCCTGGAGGCTTCTAAAACCCACATGCTTTCCCTTTGCCTTCTCGTAAGCTTCCTTGTATTTATACTGTGGAGGCAGAATTTGGTTAGCAAAGTCCTAAGCATTGGGAACATTAGGTGGAGTGATTATATTCACAAAGGCATTCAGAATATTGTGATTTTCTGGAAGACTGTACAAGAAATACAGTCCACACCCCATGCCTCCCAACCCCAGGAAGTTTAGACTGAAAGCATTTATTTCCAATACTGCTGGGTTATAAATGGGTATCATGATAAATTCAGGAGCAGTTTCTTTTCTTTGCTACGAATGCTATAGATGATTTGCATGTGGAACTTTATATAGAGCCAACTCTATTAAGTTTTCACACTTAATATAAACATAACATATTCCAAAATATAAGACTACATTCCAAATATACCTCTTGGCTTTCCAGGGATGTGAATTTGCCTAATCCAACATGTTAGTTCACATCACAGAATACTAGAAATACTTCTGTTTTCGATTCTGATTGGTCCAGGATATGTACACAAAAGGTGCAGAAGAAACTCTAAAGAACTGTACATGCAAGACTTTTATACTCAGATCTCTTTGGGGTGGGGGATGGAAAATATTACTATGTTTGTTGTCTCAGTTGACCTAATATGGTTAAACAAAAAAACCCTCTTTGGCAGGTAGCTAGGCTTTCACCCAACCCCATTTCTCAGCAGCTACTCTCCAAGCTCACTGCTGAAGCAGCTGCACATGAATTAAGGAACTATATAATAAGGGCAGGAACCACCAAGACCTCTCCTCATCAGTAAAAGGCTGACTGCAAAAGCTCTGCGGTCCAAGGTCTCTCACCGCTGAGATCGGCAATGGGGTGTAGATTGAGCTATACAGTAGGTAACAAATCAAAACCTCAATTTTTATGTAAGGGAATTCAAATGCACCCAAACTCTGAAGACATTCTGCTCCTGCCAGTTAAGCACCAATTTATAAACAAGAGTTTAGCAGGCAAAAGAATTATCAAGTAATTTCTAGGCATGTTAGAAAAAGTTCTGTGTAAGGGCTAAAAATAAAAATGATAATGTCATATTTTAGACTGTCACTTTCTCCTTAAACTAGAAATGTATTTCAGAGTGATGTGCAAAGCTTTGAAGAACACATTTTCAGTACCATCCCTACATGGAAGGCTGTAGAATTCTTACACCCTATCTTCCACATGGTCTGTACACGTGGTTTCTTTCTTTTCTTGTGTCAGACGAAGAGTGTAGCCTCTGGAATAGTGTGTGACAGTGAAATCTATGGTGTGTGCGTGCTTTTGGAAAATTTTCTTTTTCAATGATGAGAAGAAGTATAAGTGTATACTTTTTCTATTACAGATGAAATAAATCAAAATTATATTCTAGAAAAGTGGGCTTTTTCCCATTTGGTTTATAAAATCTGTACATTTTATTTAACATTTTTTCAATCTTCTTAATACAATTATAATGCAGGCAGTCATCTGAATTTAACATGTTAGTGGCAGGTGGGGTATTCTCCCTGAAAATAAATGTGGGCTGTCAGGGAAATGTGTCAGGGAAGGTAATTTGGGCTATGAATCAGGAGAGAAAGCCACTGTCAGATTTATGACAGCTCTACCAAGTGGGGTCAACTGAAAAGAATCACAAAACATTGAAAAAGTGACAGGTTTTCAGGGCTTCCCTGGTGGTGCAGTGGTTGAGAGTCCGCCTGCCAATGCAGGGGACATGGGTTCATGCCCCAGTCCGGGAAGATCCCGCATGCCACGGAGCGGCTGGGCCCGTGAGCCATGGCCGCTGAGCCTGCGTGTCCGGAGTCTGTGCTCCGCAACGGGAGAGGCCACAACAGTGAGCGGCCCGCGTAC